ACCCCCACCCCCCCTTGCACCTGGCAAAAAAGGAGGCTGCAGTGCTATGAGCCTCTGGTAGGCTTTGCAGCTGGAAGAGCTGTCTGGACATACAGAAGAGTGTGCCTGTCACTGATTCATGATCCCAGAGCCAAGTGTTTGAAGAATCTGAGCAGGAGACGGCAGCAACAAACAAACACCAAAGGCCAGTATCAGGGGAGAGACATACTACACAAGGTGTGCAGGCCCTGGATCATCTGGCACCCTACCAGCTGGGTGCATATCCTGCTGTACAATGTGCAGGTCTTGCTTTTCTTCATGCCGTGCCACTGAGACACATATTACAAAAGCTGCAGTCAGGTTTAGCCAGAGTAAACCAAAAGAAAAAGTAGCATTTTGTGTGTGTGCTTGAGTCCCTTTTCATCCTCCCCCAAATGTTGGCCAGACCTTGACCAAATGGCTAGTGCAGAATTTTTTGTTCCTGATATTTAAAGCTATTTTTAATAAGAATATTGCCACAATAAGCAGGGAAACTAACAAAGTACCCCTCCACCCTAACTGGATTTGAGGGCAATCTTTTACATGGTTTCAATTTGTTTCCTTCTATGTGCGATGAATTGTTTTAACCTAATGGTGGAAATAGAAAAGGCAATGCGGGGGGGGAGACAAATGGAAAACAACGCAGAAGTATTTGGAATGAGATTCCTTCATTTTACCACAGTTATACTGCCTTTCTGTGCTGCTCGGCCTGGACATTTAGCCAACATAACGATGTCACTGAGATGATGTTGAATGCTGGCTGCTTTTGAGAACTACTATAGTTGGCGTCAGAGGAAGTTGATGAGGTAGTTCTGATCATTCTCTTTTGTACTATATCTCATATATGCATTTTCCTTTGGAGAAACTGTAGAGTCATGGGAGTGTGGGAATGTTTCATGGCCTGGTGTTATTTATGTTATATGCAGCTTCAACATTTACTGTAAGAGTCTCTTCCGTGGCATGGAAACACGTTTTTATCTTTGAAAGCAAAGAAACTGTTTGTTTGTTTTTCTTTTTGTTTTTTTTTTTACCATGGGAGCAAAATTCTCACAGTTAAGAATAGAGCAAGCAACCCAAGTTTTAGGTGTGTCGTTTTGAATGGGAGGATCAAATTGGTGAAGAAGGGGTCTGATTTGATTGCAGAAAACAGCAAGATATGAATAGCACAAGATAGCTATGTGAGAAGATAACTTTTGTATGGCAGCAGTGTTGCAGTTCATTACTTTTCAGTGCCTGTTTTGAAGAAGAGATACTTTTCAGAAGAGCAGATTCTGCTCTGTTAGCTATGGTGTGAATAGAGTTGGTTGCACAGAATAATTGTACCTGCAAACTGGAGATCTAGCCACTGCAGCTGGAAATCAATGAATCCACTAAAGGGAACTAACTGCAGTTAAAGGCATGGGGAGGAGGGTTGCAGCAAAGGAGTAACAGCTGAGATGCATGCTTTTTTTTTTTTTAGCTTAGTGACTAACCTCAGTTGGAGGCAGTGTCTCACCATACTTAACAGCACTTAGTCTGGGCAGATATTCATTCTAACATAATATTGCATGCCAGGGTCAGGATCTGCAGTACAACAGGAGTTGCTGAGAAGACAAATTCAAAAAGCATCTTTTGGTGAAGCCTGAATTTCTATTTTCTGTCAAGATGGTGCCCAAGGCACAAGCTCTTCTGTCAGATGACAATGTATTAGCAAAATGTGTCTGGAACTTGCTCACTTGTTCAGTAAAGGAGAAGCCTCTGCAGGGTGGTAAAATCCAGTAAATGTTAATTCATTAAGCAGAGACCTATTTCTAAATGAGAAATAATTTCAAAGAGTTAAAAAAAGATCTCCCGGGGCAAATACAACATGGATACTAAAGGTTGTTTTGGACACACTCTTTCTCACTGGAGTTAAAGCCAAAGGTGATGTAAGCATGCAATCTGGCCACACTAGCACAGCAAGCCGAGGACTAAAGGTTACAGTTTGTTTCCTTAATTATAGGGCCAGAACCTTCTTTGTCTGCCAGTTCTGGCATCCAGAGGGAGATGCCGAAACTGAGCAAAGCACCAAACCTCTGGTGGGTTACGGGCTTGCTTCGAGTAGGATACATGGTGTGATCTTCTAGTGACCTTTTTTATTATCCCCAGTTTCAGGGAGATCTTCCTGTGGAATTCATGGCTGTGATTTTACTTTAATGTGACTTTTCCCAGAACACTGCTCAATTCATTTCGCTGTCTGTTTGGAAGTTTTTGAATGGTGCAAAAAAGTTCTTATTCCCATCCTCAAAGTCTCTTCTGACAGTCCTGCAAGAAAGAAATAAAGTCACAATTTTGTCAGTGAGGTCCCCTCCAATTTACAGAGAATCAGACTTGCTATAGCTATTGCTTGCAGAAAACATACAGGTATGATAGCTTAATACTTTCACTATTTCAGTTGGGCCTCACAAAGGCTGGGAGCCAACTGGTTTTCCTTGTTTGACAAATACAGGCATGGCATTTTCTCTTCCCAGCATCCAGCATTGAAGCAGGGCTTAGGACAGAGGTTATGGTAGCTTACAGCCTGGATCTGAGAACTCTTTGCAGGTGGGCTGCTTTTGTACTTTTTCTGTTGGACAGGGCTGTATAGGGCTCTGAAGCATATGAGGACTTTGGGACCAGGTTTCATCATACTGCAGTAATCAGAGGAGGTACTGGAAAAAAAAATCACTGCTGTCCTACTTCCTTACTCTCATTCTTGAGGAAGAGGAGGTCTCACACTGTGCTTAATTAACAATAAACAGTAGCCTCAGCAGAATGCTCCTGTGGGAGTTTTCCCATTGCTTTTGAAGCAATCCATGAAGACATTTCCTTTGTTTCTAATAGCACAGGACAATCAGATTTGTTTTTCCTTTGAGTTTTGCCAGTCAGAGGGGAAGAAGGCAGGAAGGTGTTCTGAAAGGTAGGTGAGCTAAGTTATCAAGCAAGGAATGGCAGTTATGTTTAGTAGAGTTGCTTTGTTTTGAAATCTGTGTGACAAGGGGATTTAGGTTTTGTGAAATCAGTTTGGCAGGTTAATATATGGCTGAAGTACAATTTGTTCTTTCCCTGATTTTTTTGTTAAGAGGGCTCCGCCGATACCTGCTCTTTTTGTGCAGTGGAAGGCCATCCTCCACTGTGCTGCCAGCACTGGGATTTTGCTGCTAGTGTTGGTAGCAAAGTCTTTGCCTAGCGATTGACAAGCTTAAAATGCAAATCTGTGGCGTCTTCAAAGTAAAATCCTTGGCCCTTTCATTAGCAGTGGGGCCTGTGGTCCAGGAAAAACAGTACAAAATATTACCTTTTTAGACCAATTGGCTTCTGTGGCATTTTTTTGTCTTCCTCAGACCTTTCAGCACTCTCTGTGAAAGTCACTCTGTTTATTGTTTCACAGTGACTGATACCACAGATACAAAATGCAGTCATAATGCTGATTAGTTGTGTACGACGACAATAAGAAAATAGCAAGAGGAAACCTAGAGGCTTAAAATTGTTGTTTCTTCTTCTATAGAACTAACAGAGACAGCAAAGGGACATTTTGTACCTCTGACTCTGCCACACCAGCAGACACTGACATAAGTGTGTAGCCAGAGTGAGTGATCACTTTGCTGTTTCTGTGACAATTCACTAAATGAAGACAGACTGATTTCATGATTGCATTTTACATTAGGAGTGCTCTTTACCAAGCCAGGTCAGTGCACTGGAGCACTGGCGTCATGACCAAGGTGTATGACTTCACAGGAAAAAGCTGGAAGTGGAGGAACTGAAATGGTCCCTGGAGGAACTTAGCCATAGAGTTTTTCACTGGGCATTGTTTATTTCTTCATAGCTTTGCGTGAAAGCAAAGCATGCATGAGCACCTAACTCCCATGTCATACTACACTCACTTCCTCTGTCACTGGTGGCTTGGACAAATAGGGAAACTGCACTGAAGTAGAAGAGACACTAAAGTTCATGAAGCGCTGCTTCATTCTCTTACTGGGAGACTTGAGGGCCAAGGGTCTCAGGCATTTTCATATGGAAAAAGAGAAGGAGAAAGCCCACGGGAAGGTGAGGAGGATTTGTCTGAGGTGGGACTATGATGTGGTTGAAGAGAGATATTTCTTACAGCAGAAACTAGCATTGTGCAGACCAGAAGGCCTTGAAGATATGGATATACAGAACAGCCAAAATCGCTCTAACTCTGTATTATATGGTGTTGTGCATAGCCCTTTTAATGTAGTCCTTTTATTGCCATGGATAGAAGAAATTTCTAGCTGGGATGTCTGTCTTAAATAGTAACTTTTCCTAATGTCAGCCTGTGTATTGTCATGTAACTCATTTCATATATAATTATTCATACGAACTGTACTGTGTAAATTTCTTCTTCATGCTGCCAGTACCCCTTGAATTCATTGTGCAATGCAAGCCCCATCAGGAGGAAGGGTACAGTTGGGTTTTTGTTAGATATTCACTGGGCTATAATACAGGCATGATTTTTCTGTTTTATTGGCAGCATCTTAGACTGAGGACTGCTACTTGGCATTCACTTCTTTGTTTGTCAAGATTCAGTGGAGACTTGTTTTGGTTCATAAGGATTCTTAAAATACTGTAGGCAAAAGAGAAATTCAAGCGAACTGCCATGTAGAATATGTCAGCGGGGGTGGGGGGACTGCCTACTTCATGTCCGTTACTGGCAGCATTTGTTCACCTAGGTATACCACAAAACTCAGTCCACAGGGAATCCCCTTGTTCTTGAATGTACGCAGAAATTTAAACCCTCCTGAAGATAATGGGATTTAAGTCACTCTCCATAAACTCTGAAAAAGCAGCCCCCTATGATAAGCTTACATTAGTGAAGAAGCGAGTGTGTGTGAATG